ACATCCACAGTGCAACATCATCCCACTAGGCTGAACTCGGGCATTGGCGGAGCCAGGCTCCCACGAGAGGTCCTAGCAGAATCTGCTTCCTTACCTTTCTGGCCTCTAGAGCTGTGTCTGTGGCTTGTGGTCCTGGCTCTGCACCCTCCAGGCAGAGCCTTCAGCCTCTGGGACACGCGGCCGCCTCCTGCCACACTCAGCTTCCTCACTGTCCTCCCTTCCAGGGAACTGAGCCATTCATTACACTCAGGGCCCCAGCCAAGATCCCAGGTGCAAAGACCCTTTGCCACAGAGAGGAGGGACATTCCCAGGGGTCAGGTATTAGGACTCCGAAATCTCTTCAGGCCATTAGCCTACCACAAGCAGCAGGAGGTAGAAGAACTGGGAATGCTGAACCTTGGGCCCCAGCTGGGACCTGCTGCTTCAGAATCTGTTTTTTTTTTTTTTTTTTAAAGATTTTATTTATTTATTTGTCAGAAAGATTGAGAGCCCAAGCAGGCAGAGAGGCAGGCAAAGGCAGAGAGAGAAGCAGGCTCCCCGCTGAGCAAGGACCCAGATGTGGGACTCGATCCCAGGACCCTAGGATCATGACCAGAGCCAAAGGCAGCCCCTTAACTGACTGAGCCACTCAGTAGTCCCCAGAATATGCTTTGTAACAAGACTTACCTGTACACTGCAATTGGAGAAGCGTGGTCTCATCCAAGAAATTCTACAGTAAGGAATTGAGCCCCATGTCAAATACAGATTGAAGGGGTGTTTTCCCAGGAGCATTTTCTGCTGGTGCTGGGTAATCTGATGACCAGCATTTTCCCAGCCAGCGTAACTAAGTGCTCATCTGAATGACAGTGGTCTCCCCATTCTCTCTGAAGCTGCCAGCCTTAAGCACCAGCATACCAGAGCTCTTGCTTGGTTCCCGTAGTTCAGCTCAAATCTTGCTGCCACTGCCACAGAAAACAATTCCAGTTTTCAAACGCTGTGTAAGGGAGATAGTGAGCCAGGAATCAGTGGGGTGGGGGTGGGTGGTAACTTTCTCATTGGGACCTATACTTGTGGTGATTCCTTTACCTTTGGGTATATAAGTGAGAGGGAGGGAAAGGATCACAGCCCCCAGTATTCTGCTCCCTCATATTCAAGCAAGATGGGGCAGAGGTTAGCTCTTTTAAAATACTGATTTCACAGGGCGCCTGGGTGGCTCAGTGGGTTAAGCCGCTGCCTTCGGCTCAGGTCATGATCTCAGGGTCCTGGGATCGAGCCCCGCATCGGGCTCTCTGCTCAGCAGGGAGCCTGCTTCCCTCTCTCTCTCTGCCTGCCTCTCTGTCTACTCGTGATCTGTCTCTGTCAAATAAATAAATAAAATCTTAAAAAAAAATACTGATTTCACAGAAGGAAAGCAGAAAAGACCTAGTTAATGCTGGATCCAAAACAAAACTTAAAATGTATTCTGGGAATCACAGGAAGGATGGGAACCTCTGAATAATGTCTGAATAATGACCTGGTTGGAAGGACTTGGGGACTGTCGTATGCCCAGAGCGTCCACAGGAGGGCAGCAGAGCTACGCCGCAGAAAGAGGGACCGCTTCAGTTCAGTGCAACTTTTCAGGATGAAATTTGAAATGATGAAAGCAAAATTAAGTAGAGAAAAAATGATGTGCCCAGGTAGTCGACTTTTCGTCATTTCTGGGAATCAGTAGACTATGTTAAATACTGCTCTTGAGTAGAAATATGCAAATGTGAAAATCTGTAAGAGAGTTCATTCTTGCTTAAAATGTTAGCTGTCGGTCATTACTAAGTTTTCAGATAACAAAGCTGCCCATTTTCTTTAAAGCTAAAATATTCTGGAACAATGCAAATTCAGATTCTTGCCCATCCTTTCTCTCTCCAGCTTTCTTACAGAAGAATTTCTGGTTGTTACCTTAAAAGCTCCCCTGTACATTTTATGCCAATTTAAAAAATATTCTATAGTCTCAAGCCATAGCCAATTACAATTTAATAAATTGTTTTATTTATTGATAGACAACCTAATTTTCATGCAGTGTTATCAGAAAGATTGCCTCTGTTTTTTCAAACCACAAATAGCCTTGTTTCCTTAGGCAACATCTTATGTCTCAGACTATATTCTGATGTAATAGGCTATATTTGAAAAGCAGCATCTTGTGGGGTACCTGGGTGACTCGGTCAGTTAGGTGTCTGACTCTTGATTTCACCTTGGGTCATGATCTCAGGATCATGGGATCCAGCCCAGCATGGAACTCTGTGCTCAGCCAGGAGTCTGCTTGAGATTCATATTCCCTCTCCCTCTGTTCTTCCCCCAACCAAAATCAACCTTTAAAAAAATAAAAAACAGCATTTTGTATATATAAGCTTTACTTCTGTCTTTATGAATTTATATATAGAAATGGGCTATGGAGCTTGAGAATCACGAATGCAGAGGTTCTATGCCTTAACTGCATATTAGAATCACTTGGGAGGCTTAAAAAATTCCCTATGCCCAGGCCTCATCCCAGGCGAATTACATAAGAAAACCCAGGGGGCTGGGACCCCGCATCAGTAAAGCTTCTGAGGCCATTCCCTGTGCAACATGGTGCAGAACACTGAGGCCTGATCTCAGACATTTAACACTCTGAGTTTATTTAAATCTGCAAAAGGACCAGGAAGTTTTCTGCATAAACAAAAGCAAACCCCATTATTAGTTACACAAATCAAATTTTACACTTTCATTGCTGGGAATTGGGCTTTTCTGTACTTGACCACACCCATGCACTCCAGTGATGAGGAAGGCGTGTCTCCTTCCCAGAGGCAGGGATATAGAGGTGGTGTGACCTGAGGCTGGGTAATCACAAAGGCTCTGAGAGCTGGGCGAATCAGGAAAAGCTTCAGCGGGTGGGCAGTGGGAGCTGAGCCTTGGAAGATGCCCAGGATCCGGCAGGACCATGAGGGCTCCGGGCGGCCGTGAACCAAGAACTCAGCAGAGCACTCGGGGCACACGGTCTGCTTGGTGGACGCAGCTTATTTGAAGAAGTACACAGAGCAGCAGGAGGAGAAATCTTAGGAAGAAAAGCTGGGACTTAATCGTAGGAAGCCTTCAAGGAGCACACTAAACAACTTGGACTTGATGCTGTAGGTCACATGCTGTGGCTGAACACCTCCAGGCAGCAGTGGGATGCTAAGGGAAGCTGGGCCCCAGGGGCAAGCACGTGTCCTCTGAGATCAAGCACGCTGGAAAGAATGCATCATCACAAGTGAAACTTCTCCAATCTACACTTTATTTTTTGCAACATTTGAAGATCCAGTTTTCAAAAAAACGAGCAATAAAGATCCGACACATGGGACGTCTCATTTCACTGCAAATACATTCTTACAGTTTCAGCAAATTTGTAAATTTACATACACGTTTTTATGTCATTACAGAAGCTTTCTGTTTTCCCCTTATGTTAGATGATTGATAAGTTGTCTGACAAAGAGCATAATTTATATTTACACATATATAACAATTTCCACAAAAATCTACTAAAATGAAAAAATTAAATTTGAAGCAGAAACTACTGTACAAGTCTACTTATTTTCGAAAGCATAACAATCTTTAGTTGAAAAGATTCAGTTCGGCCTGTTACAAATAAAGGTCCCAGCCATCCCTTGCTTCGGAGCCAGTGCTACCCCCCTGAAGAGTAGGCGGCAATGGGGAGGGTACCGCTGGGGAGGGTACGGCTTCCCCTCCGCACTGAATTCGGAATTCCTGTTTCCTTCTGCTCCAGCTGGCCTTCCCTGAGTCCCTCCTGGATCCCAGAGGGAACGAACATGGACAGTGCTTCACAGACATGCCTTCATCTGCAGACAGGACTTACGCTGCTCCGCGCTGTTTTCCCAACCTTATCCTTCCTGGGGCAACGCTTCTTTGCCGAACTGGCCCTACTAACGGTCCAAGTGCAAGATGAAACTCATTCAAGTGTCATGTGAGTTCGAGTGGCCGTCCCTCCCCCGTCCCACTGGGCTTCTCTGAAGGAGACCCTGCCTGGGGTGAGGACGCAGGGGCCACAGTTTATCCCAACCAATCATCTGCCGCCACCGCAGCTGCTGGCTCTTTCTGTCCCTTTGCAAGACCAAGGGCAAGCAGTCTCCTTTTCTGAAACGCGAGCCTTAATCTTTACTCTGCTTTTAGCACAGAAGGTGAGATGCGCCTGAACACTCAGATTGAGAGAACTGAGCTTCTCCGATGGCCACGTTCCTCCAAACCTCACCCTTTTTACAGGACCTTGTCTAAAGTAAGACCTCTCTGCATTCAAGTACCGGGAGAAGAGGGCCCCCTGCCGGAATTTAGAGTGGAATCGAATTTTCCTAAAGAGCAGAATCCTCTTAGAGAAAATTGCAAGGCCACAGTGTTCCCTCTGGCACCGGCTGGTGTTCTTGCTACGTGAGCGCTGGATCCCTGAGGTTGTACAGGGGTTTGCAACAGATCTGATGCCTCATGCGTGTCTCAGACAGCTTGCTGATGCTTTAAAAAGTAAAGCACAGATCCGTACACTTTATAGCTTCCTTAAATCACCAGGAAATTAAACAAAAACATATAGAGCAGAGGACCACAGGGGAAGAAAGGGAAGACTGAATGGGAAGAAATCAGAGAGGGAGACAAACCATGAGAGACTCTCGACTCTGGGAACCAAACTAACAACTAATGAAACGAACACCACATCAATAACTAATCATGTACTATATGTTGGCTAATTGAATAAAAACCTTATTTAGAACATTTTCCACTAATATTCTTAGTTAAGGAAGTCAGACTTGTTCAAATTCCCAATATGCAGTGTTCCTGTTTTTAATGTTTAAGGGCTGAAGTACCATACACATATTAGTAAAGGCATTTAACACTAAACAATATATAAAACACATCTTAGAGTTCCTGGAAGTTCCTGGAATCTTAAGACTTGGCATTACTCTTTGAACAAAAAGGATTTAAAAATCACTTTCTTTACAAATGAAATGTAATTCATTTTGAACTATAGTTCTCTAAATATGGAGATTTATTTTAAAAATGATTTCCCCACCTAAATACTACCAGGGTTACAGTGTTGAGTTGTCCTATAAATTCAAGTGTTATTTAAGGGAAAATAGGCCTGATGTCCATACTGAAGTTCGTCCCCCGTTCAAAGCATCATCAAAGGATGGTGACTACTACATTCAGCCTTATGGCTTAGTGGCTGCATTCACGAGAGCATGACAACTACAGAATAACTTTGAAGGACCTTGAGATTTTAACAGGATCAAAAGATAAACTGAGGCACTGGTTTGTGGAAACAATTTAGTGCATCTGCTCTGCCTCAGTGGCTGATTTACTCTGCTAAGTGGTATATCACCTCCAACCTCTTGTTTCCTACAAGGCAATTTACCCAGAAAACATCAGTGAAGTACAGAAATTAAATCCAGAGGCCCACTGAGAGAACGGACAATTAAAAACATGTATTTCCAGTAGCGAAAGTTCAACTAGTCTCAGTATAGAAACTGTCATATCCTTGTGTCTCATTTCTGAGTCTCTCCAAAGTAAGAAATAGAGCAGTATGATACAAAGTACTTAGTAAAGATTTCTTCATTTAAAATAAAATGAGGGCTAACTGGGAAGACTGGAGAGAAACACATGTAGGACCTAAAAACGAAATCTTAAATCTGGCTCTGAGAAGAAACTTTTGGTAACAATTCCACCAGCCTTCGAGCCCAATAATGCCCCATTTAGCCCTCACCGCCAAGGAAATCATGTGTTTCCTTTTGTTTATGTGGTGGTGGAACCCTTTTCACATAGAATTTTAAACAGAATCCGAGAGAGAAAGATAAAAAGGACTCAGCTAAATTTTAAGATAACACTTATTTGATAGAACGACGAAGCAGTTTAAAGATGGTGAAATCTAACCTTGGATTACTGATCACAGAGGTCTTATATGACCTTCAGCATCCATTATATGACCTTCAAATGTTTGCAGACACCTTGAAGCTCACAACAGACTGAAATCTACCTTCCTGGTTGGCCTTAGCCTCAAAGGAATTCTGAGAGACCAAGAAGGTTCACAGGACTGGGGAGGCCCCTCCTGCCACTTCTGGTTGGTACGATGGGTCTTCCCCTGTGCTCGTCTGACCCCAGACACCACTCTGCTTTTACCAAGAAACTGCCTTTCCTATTGGCCTCTGTAGAGTCTGCTCCCAGACTCCTGACTGTAAGGTGGGGTAGCACCTCACATTATAAGTGATGGGATAACGTATCTCTCTCTTCCTGGCCGTGTAGACACACATTCTGGCATAGAGAGAGGACGGCTTCCAGTTCATTTCATTCAACAGTACAAGGTAGATGGAGTCAGAGGGTCTAAAGCAAGGCAATTCATAGTTTTTCAAAATCTAAGGATTTTTTCTGTTGGTTTCTCTTTCATACACTACAGATATCCTGTTCATGGAAAACAGATAAATGCCTTTAAACTCCATATTTACAATATTTTGGTTTCTAAGAAAGGGTCATTTTCCTCCCTGCACTTAAAATGTACAGATGCTATTTCTTCCCACTGGGCTAAAAAAAATTCCTGCACTTTTGGAATCACAGCTACTAGGAGGTCAAGGAAGCCTGACAATCTGATAAAAGGCCAACGGGGACATTACTCAGTTGGAGCCTATGTCAAAGTAAACGCCTGCCAGGACATGTTATTTAAAACAGGAATGGTACAAAACCATCAATAATTTAGCGAAGGGCATAGGAATCTAAGTGACCTCTTTGATGTTTTGTGCCAACATATCTTAGTTCAGAGTACTGACTTCTAAATATTCATTGACTATTTTCTATTCTAGAAAGGACATCTCTGAAAAGAAACACACAAAGCCAATACCTTTTAATGATAAAAGCAAGCCTTTCTCTCACCTCTTCTTCTCATAGAGAATTAAATTTTACTTCTCTGTGGCTCTCACCAGTTTGGTATGTGCTGAACAGAGGAAGGGAAAAGGGCTGAATAAAACAGTCACATCAAATCAAAAGGCAGCAGAGCGGCATAATAAGTGGGATAAAATCAATGACAGGAAAATGGACGCACAGCTGACAGAATCATAAATGACAACTTTTCTGATTCTCATTTAGGAACTTGAAACGTGAAATTTGTGCAAGAAGCTACTTTGACGTTGGAGGTCTTCTAGGTTACAGATGAACAGATTCTAAATTTCTGTGCAATCTGTTTACCCCCGAAACCATTTAGCCTGACACGAATCATGTAAACTCTCTGTGAGGACAAAGGGTCCTTGCCTCTCACACGTTAGATTCAGAGGGAACACGCAGAGCACATATGAGATCCATGGAACACTGTCTGAGAAGTCAGTTTTACGACAAGAAGACATCTTCAGATGCATCTTGACTTCCGCATCGAGCAGTTTCTCCCTGAGGCACATCTGCTTTCCCCCCAGGGAAGACTCCGTAAAACTTATTACCGGACACCCCATTTTCCTGGGATGGATCTTAAGTTTGCTCTCTCGACTAACTACAAAATCCTTTCTTATCTATTAGCTGTTTAAAATTGTCTGAAGAGTTTGTTGAGAGCTCAAGAATTTGAGAGCCACGTAGAAAAAGGTTCAAGTTGATTTGCTCCTTCCGTTTTTTGCCCCTTGTCACTCCTCTCCCCACAGCCTGATCCGGCCACTCGATGGAGGACATCCCAGACCTCTGTAACCTTCACTGAAGCACTGACGGCTTAAAGATCACAGTGACTGGCTCAGTCATTATTGTAAAAATCGGTCTGAGTTAAACCAAATAATACCCTTAACAGAAAAAAAAATGGGAAAACTATTCATCACCGGTAATAAAATACATAAAGTATGTAAATGATTCCAATGGACTTCAGCAAACTCTCGCTTCTCCAGGGATCATGTCACCAGAGTAGAGAAAATCATACATTTATGAGACGAAAATCACCACCCACATGTGAACACATTAATGCCAAGCAAATGCATCTGTCTTCCGGACCCACACAGTCATGAGAAGCCAGACATGGCTCAAGCAACAGCAAAGCACTGGGCAAGGGGTGCGGACTCCCGGATGAGAAAGTCTGGCAGCAAGTGAGTTCTAGAAGGAAACTGAAGGAAAAGGGCCCATTTCATATGCCCTGGAGATCCCATTCTATTCCTAGCTGAGACTAAGAACAGACGACCACAGCAGAACCCATCCGTGTGGGGCCACATTCATCAAACAACCTAGAGACGTCTGAGTACCTAAAATGTGACGACTTCCACAATGTTTGTGCTTTGGGATGGAGGCTGCAGAAGGGTAACTGTGTTCCCAAGTCATCACAAATACAAGTTTCCACCAAAATCCATTTTGTACCAAGTTCCAGTAGCCATCTGGGATGGTCTGTGCCTAGTGCCCTGATGCTGGAATTACCCCTAGAAACAGAGCACTTTATAGTCTTGTAAGCAAGTTTCTCAGGCAACAACACTCAGTTTCAGGGAGAAAGGTGATGGGTATTAGGCACTACAAAGAATATAACACGAATCGTAACTTTTTTTTTTCTAAATGCAATATAAAGCTACATCGCTCACACACTTTTTAAAAACATACACACAGATGTGGCATCTTTAGAAAATCCAATTACCTTAAATGGGAAAAAAATTTTACCATTAAGTTTGATAGTATTTCTTCAAATTTCAAGAATATAGGTGCACTGATTGTAGTGTCCAGCCTGGCAAGTCAGGGTGTCGCCACCACTGGGAGCTCGTGAGACATGGGATCTCAGATCACTAATGCTACTGAAACCCTTCACCTGGGGTACACTGCTCAGGTAACTGTGCAGCTTTAAAAGACCCAATAACCGGTAGCCAGAGAGAGTATCATCAACACTTGTTAAGGAACCCGTATGTATTCTGACGCAATGTTGTTGTAAACAAAGTAAAAGTAAGGAGCAAGGAGCTATTTTGTTTTGAGAACCTACTTCTACACAAAACTTTTGGACTTGCAAAAATATTTCTCTGCAATTTCCTACTCAGAGTGATGTGTAATTTTAAAAATACACTGCTGACTTAGCAACCAAATATGCATATCATTGTTTGACAAATGTAAGACTGAAGACTCAAATGAAGGCACTATGGGTATTTAAAAATAATAACTAAGTAGGGGAGCCTGGGTGGTTCAGTTGGTTAAGCTTCGGACCCTCGGTTTCAGCTCAGGTCCTGACCTCAGGGTGGTGAGGCTGAGCCCCATGTCAGGCTCCACGCTCTGCTTGGAGTCTGCTTAAGAATCTCTCTCCTTCTCCCTCTGCCCCTCATGCCTGTGCATGCTCTCTCTCTCAAATAAATCTTTTTTTTTTTTTTTAAGATTTTATTTATTTGTCAGACAGAGATAGCAGAAGCAGGGGAATGGTAGAGGCAGAGGGAGAAGCTGAGCAAGGAACCCGATGTGGGACTCAATCCCAGGACCCTGGGATCATGACACAAGCCAAAGGCAGATGCTTAACTGACTGAGCCACCCAGGCATCCCTAAATTAAGAAATCTTAAAAAAATAACTAAGTAATATTTTAAAAGCCTGAGCTTTTTATGAGTAAATAATGTACTTTTATTACATAGCCTAAGCCAGACATTAATTTATGGGGATATATAGTCCACAAAACCATGAATACCAAAAGTCTTCAAATCATTAGTTTGATTTCAAAGCTCTTCTCAAAGCAATAGGGAAAAAAAAATCAATAAAGATCAGAAATTTCAAAGCACCTAATTTGGTCTATGTTCCAGGATTTATTTCAAGTCTTTCGCAAATTGTAAATTATTTAAGATTTAAGTTTGATGCTTAAAAAACCTATTCTGCTCAGAAGACATATATTTGTACACTTTTTTTCTGTCTTAAGATTCCCCACTTTTCATTTTTATAGATTAAAACACAGATAAAGTTAATAATGAGGTGCTTTGTAAATCTTACCCCTGTCAGCAACCCCAACCGTTTTACTTCAACCTAGTAAATTAAGAGAACATAAGAGGGAAATCAAATAGTGCTGCTTTTCCTTCCCCAGTTCAACAAGTATAAATAACATAAAAACAAATCAAATTGGGTATTTGAATGAGAACCTACATAGCTTCTTCCAATTACCTAAGTTACCCAGACACATGGAAACAATTACCTAAGTTACCCAGACAAATAAAAACCATGTAATTTAAAAATTGCAAGGTGTACAACTGTCTAAGCCTCCACAGTGAGCAGTTCTAAATTTAATCTTGGCCACTAGTCCAATGTAGGACACAGGGTAAACCTAGGTGGGGAAGTTCCCCTTAATAGTCCATGATTTGCTACACAACTGAAATCTCAAATCCCACGGAAACGTTCCTTGCGGCCCTAACAGCTGCAACCACTCTGCAGCGAGCCCTCTGACTGCAGGGACCTTAACAGCAGCCCGAGGCCGTTTCAGTAAACGCAAGCAAACGGATGGGGCGCTCATGCAGGCACAGTTTCCGAAAAGGCGGTATGCAGGACAAACAGAAGAGCTGCACGAAAGAATGTCAAGAGTGAGCAGGACCATGAGTTAGAAGAACACGCTTTTATTTACCCTTTCTTCTTGTGTCGACAAACCAGGAAGCCGCCACATGCTGCAATAACAACAGCACCTACAAGAAACCAGGAAAAAAATAACATGTAACAGAACTGGGTGTCAAGATTCAAGATTTAGCAGCAGAAATAAGTAAGTGCTGGTTGCATTGCAGTCGTTAGAAAATGTTATTTTACTTTAGCACCTATCTATTCATGTTCCCTCTGGACTCTCTTACTATCTAAGGCCCATTCCCTGGAGTCACTGGACTAGTCCACAGGAAGCCAGAGAAGAATCCTTGCTTCGTTTAGAAAATTACCCAAAGCATCTCTGGGACGCAAACTTGTGCCCAATCATCCTGAAAACACATGTAACGTTTAGGGTTTCTGACTAAGCGGACACGTACAGTATAAAAGACTACACATTCGCCAGCAAAACGCAGTGTGTCATACCAAGGTCAGGCTGTTCTAGACTGGTGGACTTCATTTCAGGCTATATAACTATAGCAACCGAAAAGTTAAATTAAAAATCATTTAATTATATAAATTTAAAAATAATGCACTTTTTCAGAGTAACACTCTTATTTAAGTGGCATCAACGTTGGGGCTACTTACAAACAGGAACAACGGTCGCCACAATGATGACTTTATCTGAGAAAAAAATGAAAACAGTTTCAAGACTGAGCACCCAAGAGTCCCAGGAGGTAGTTGCATTTAATGTTGATCAGATCATCCAATGCTACGGCAGAGAAGCTGCTCCTCTGTCTAGTTTTGGCGGGACACTAGTGTGCCCGGCTCATTTTTTTCAATAACTCTTGGAATTGGATCCCTGCTCTGGCTTCGGCTTTGGAAGACTCTTCACAGGAACTTCACTTTTGACTGTTCTGTGCTGTAGTTACCATACCAGGTTAGCACAGCTTACGAGGACAATGAGAATTCAGCAGATTAGAAGAAAACGGTTTCAAAATGTATTACTCCATTATAGTTGGTTTAGCTCAGTATTCATTCTATCACTTGTGATTTTGTTGGGAATTCGTATTTTTCCACAAAAGTGGGGCCTGTGGACTGCCACAAATAAATTTCCATCCATCAGATGTTAGTTGCAGAACTATAAAATAATAGTTTATCTTATCATCAACCCCTTCTATCTTCCACCCCCTAAAACCAAGACATAATCCTCATTACCAAGGAGATTCTCAATACCAGACACATGGATGAAAATAATGCACAGAAACTTAAACATGCGTTTTTGGCTACCCAGAGAGAAATAAATCATACCACAAAATCTTAAATGCTTAGCAATGATGTCAGGAGCACCTCTGCTTCTAAACTGCCATTATTTATACTAAATTTCTGAAAGTTGATGCATGAAATGTCATGTTTAAGTCTGATCTTTTCATTTCATAAAAAATTATCAAGCTCTTAAGCACCTTAAGACGGCCCTGTTTTTACTGCACAATGACAGTCTGACTACAGTGTTCAGAGGGAAAATATAACAAGCCTAAACTTATAAAAAGGTTAACCTTACTACACTTGTCTAATATAAATAAAAGTAATAGATAGCTCTCTTCATTAACTTATCAAGAAATCTTTAACTGTCACAACTATACTTTTTTTTTTTTACATACATTGTGTGAACTATGTGGGCCTATATAAAGTTTGCCACACTAGCATGTTCTAGAAAAAAAATTAATCTAACCTGTAGTACTTTAAGGCTTATGTATACAAGGTACAAGTAGAAAGAAAACTGATCTACAAATTGCCATAAAAAAATAACACTACCACATGGACAGCAAGTTACATTTTATGTGTTTTAATCTATATATAATTACAGAAATTAAGGAAGGTAACTCACCCTACTAGGAATCATTTTGGGGGGACGCCTCTTAAAAACTATATTGTCTACATGTGTTTACAAAGACTGCTGCTTACCTCTACTATGGTATCTACACTATTAAAATAACAAGTGTCAATTTTTACCAATTTGTGACATACACGCTGTTTCTTCTCTAACTACAAGTAACTGAAATATGATATTTACACGTAGAACTCTAAGATCTCATAATAACCAAAATAGTACCTAAAGTCTTAGGGTGGTCAGGCTTTGAGTCATCACCAGGGCTTGGGCGAGGTCCTAGAAAAAAAAAACAAGGAAATACGTTTTTTAAAAAAAAAAGAAAAAAATAAAGTTCAAAGACCTCTAAATTCATAGGTTGTGATTTTTCGCCTTTGTATAAAAACCCTTATAATTTCCTTTTCCTCCAGTTAAAGGGGGCATCATAATACAAATTTGTATGTGATCAGCGTTCTTCTTGTCCAGTAATATTTCCTGTGATAATATTCTGTGGTACTGTAAGCAACTATATCATAAGTGTATTGTTAAAATTATGGATTTAATTGTAAAAATATGGATTCAATGTGATTCTACTTAACAGTAAAAATTTGGGGGGCTTAATAAACAATTTAGATATTGATCTGCAATAGAAGGAAACTTCAACTTGATGAAGGCCATTTATGAAAAGGCCGTCACTTGCATCATACTCAATGGTCAAAGACTGAAAGTTTTTCGCTTACGATCAGGAACAAGACAAGATGCCTGTGTTTTCCACTTCTATGCAACATAACATTAGAAATTCTAGTCAGAGCAACCAGGCAAGAAAAAAGTAAAAAGCATCCAAACTGGGAACAAAGAAATAAAATGATCCCTGTTCCAAATGACATGCATGACCTTTACACAGAAAACTGTAAGGATTACAAACACCCCTATTAGAATAAATGAATTCAGCAAAGCTGCAGGGCACAAAATCAACACACAAAAAATGGTTGTATTTCTATACACTAACAATAAATAATCCAAAAATGAGACTAAGAAAACAATCCCATTTACAATAGCTCAAGAACAAACAAAATACTCAGGAATAAAACAAGCAGGAAGGTGAAAAACTCACACACTGAAAACTACAAAACGTAGCTGAAGCAAACTGAAGATATAAATAAATGGAAAGACAGCCCATGTTCATGAATTAGAAGACTTAATATCATTAAATTGTTAATACTACACAAAGCAATCTACAGACTGAATGCAACCCCCATCACCATCTTGAAATGCATGTTGCAGAAACAAAAAAAAACAAAAACCCCATAATTCCTACAGTATCTCATAGCCAAGATAATTTTGAAAAAGAAGAGCAAAGTTGGGAGGACTCATGCTTCCTGATTTTAAAACTTACTACTACAAAACTACAATAATCAAAATAGAGAGGTACTGGCATAAAGACAGATACATAGACCAATGGAACAAAACAGAGAATTCAAAAACAAACCTTTATGACTGTGCTCAAATGACTCCACCAAGTGTGCTAAGAATACCGAACAGAGAAAGGGCAAAATTTTTGACAAATATTTCTTAGAACTGGATATCCAAATGCAAAAGGATGAAGTTGGACCCTTACTTTTACAGCATACACAAAAAGTAATTCAAAATGGATACAAAACTAAACACAGAGCTACAAGTATAAAACTCTTAGAAGGAAACATATATAACAAGCTTTGTGATGTCCGATCTGGCAACTATTGCCTGGATGTGACACAAAAAACACAGGAAACGAAAGAAGAACCAGAAAAACTGGACTTCATCAATGGACACTGCAGAGTGTGAAAAGGCAATACACAGAATGAGAAAACACCTGCAAACCATACACCTAATAAGGCACTGATACACAAAATAATGAACTCCGAAAACTCAACAGCAGAAAAACAAGACAATTAAAAATGGGCAAAGGACTTGAACAGACAGGTCTCCAAAGATCTGCAAAAGACCAATAAACACGTGAAAAGATACTCATCACTTGTCATTAGAGAAATGCAAATGGAAACCACAATGAGAGAGGGTGCCTGCTTGGCTCAGTAGGTTAAGCTTCTGACTGACTCCTGATCTCAGCTCAGGTCTTGATCTCAGAGTTATAAGTTCAGCACCCACCCCCCAAAGGCGAAACAAACAAACAACAACAACAACAAAAACCCACAATGAGATACTATTACATGTATATTAGGATGGCAACTGTCAAAAAACGGAAAAGAACAAGTGTTGGCAAAGAGGTGGAGAATTTGGAATCTTTGTGTATCACTGGTGGGACTATAACATGGGTGGCCACTGTGGAAGATAGTATGGCTGTCCCTCAGAAAAGTAAACAAAGAATTACCATATAACCCAATAATTCTACTCTTAGGTATACGTACTGCCAAAACTGAAAAGTTACTGAGATGCTTATATTCAGAGTAACATTATTTGGAATAGCCAAAAGGCAAAAATGACCCAAATGTTTCTGAACAGATGAATGAATAAACAAAATGTGGTACATAATACGAAATATTATTCAGCCAGAAAAAGAAATAAGTTCTCATATATGCCACAAGATAGATGAGATTTGAAAACATAACTGAAATAAGCCAGAAATGACTCCACTTCTGGGAGGTACTTGCAAGAGTCCAATTCATAGAGACAGAAAGTATAAAAGTGGCTGCCACAGCTGGGAGAGAGGGGAGTGGGGGAAGGATGGAGAGATGGAGAGTTATTCTTTAATAGGTATAAAGATTCAAAGTGAGATGATAAAAACATTTTGGAGATACAGATAGTAATGATGGTTGCAAATAATGTAAATGCACTTAATGCCACTGAAATGTACACTTAAAGTGGTTAAATGTACATGAAATGTACATTTAAAGTGGTTACGTTTATTCAGAGATATTAACACACAAGGGCACCTGGGTGGTTCAGTCAGTTAAGCATCTGACTCTTGATTTCAGCTCAGGTCATGAACTTGGGATGGTTAGATCGAGCCCCACACAGAGTTCTGTGCTCAGTGGGGAGTCTGCTTGTCCCTCTCTCTCTGCTGCTCCCTCCACTCACTCAAATAAATAAATGAGTAAAATCTTTAAAAAAATTAACATACAGAATAGCCTAAACATTTCTGAGAAGGAAGTGTTCTTCCAGAAATTAAAAACATATCACACTATACTATAGTAAAAAAAAAAAAAAAATACACTACAGTAAGAAAAAAAAAATGATCTGGTACTAGCTCAGGAATGTAGAGTTCAAGGGTACTGGAGAATGACTAGAACACTCGTGAATTTCATAATAAAAACTGGTACTTGGGGCGCCTGGGTGGCTCAGTGGGTTAGGCCGCTGCCTTCGGCTCAGGTCATGATCTCAGAATCCTGGGATAGAGCCCCGCAACGGGCTCTCTGCTCTCTCGGGGAGCCTGCTTCCTCCTCTCTCTCTGCCTGCCTCTCTGCCTGCTTGTGATCTCTCTGTCAAATAATAAATAAAATCTTTAAAAA